TTCAACAGAGGCAGTGTGTAGGTTATGTAAAAGTTATTTTTTTTTTTTTTTGGGGGGGGGGGGGGGGAGGGGCAACAGGGGGAAATTTGGTTTGAAAAACAAAAACCTCAAGCATCAAAACAAAGTAATGAAATGCTTTTAAACAGAAACTGAAACATTTTCCAAAAAAAGTCTTAGCATAGTGGCACTTTTTGCAGGTCCAAATGCCATAATATTAGCTGCCCTGTTAGGGCTACACCCCCAATAGAATCTGCATTGGTGTGTGGATTAGGCAGGATTAGCTGCTTAATCTAATCCTCCCAACCACACTGATTGTGATTAAAGATTGGTCTGGAGCTAGCAGGTATCAAATTTATACCTCACTAACTCTTGGATTAGCAAGCTTGCTAATCCCTCACTATTCTGCTCAACCAATGTGAATGCTCTAACATATAACAGAAAAAAGGTAGTGTCAGTGGTATTGTGCTAACACTCCAGTTGGTGGAGCTGACCTACTGATGCCCATCATATATGGTTGATCTGCTAGACTGATTTGAACTAAATTCTATGACTACAAAAATCAGCAAATGTTTTCTTTGAAAGTTCATGTCCTTCCCAATTACATACAACATTTTGTCTTCTACATAGATTATGATAGTTATAACCTTGAATCAATTGATGTTTCAAATCAAAATTTGTTCATGAAACATGAAGGGACTTCTTGGCCAACCAACCCCCAAATATTGGAGAGTTGACTCCCAAACCCGGTTTTCCCTGACATTTGGGAGTCGATTTGGGAGTTGGCCCCCAAATAAATTTAAATAAAAAAAAGAGAGAAACCCCGGAGGGGTTTGGGTGTCAATAAATAATTTTAAGATTGAATGGCAACCCTTTGAAGGCTAAAAGATTCTGTCCAAAACTCAGGACTGCATGTGGATGAGATGTTCATCTCATCCAATCTGAAACCTAGTTTGAAAAAACCATCTAGGTACTTCTCTTGATGTGGGCTGTGAGATCATTGTCTGTGGCAGCAATGGGCTGCTATGCTGCACTATGCTAAACATCCCACTGACATTAGGGTATAATGTAGCAGCTCTCAAAAAAGTGCACCAACATTGTAGTGTTAGCGCACTGTTAGTCCCACTATGCTGTGTTTTGCAGCAAAAAGGGCCAAAAAATCTGCTAAAATTTGCTGGTTTTGTGGTCTTTGTGCGTAGGGTCAGTGCACTTGTGGTGGCATTCCACTGCACTAAGCCAAATTTTAGCAGGATTCTGCTATTTTATGCTGCACTAATGCTACAGTTAGCATAACTGGCCCATTGTTGTGTGTGGTAATTTGAACTACACCTGGTTGTTTCTAAAAGCTGCTCTCAAAGAACCTACATATTACATATTTGTGAGATTCACAATGTACAATAATTATTTAAGAAAAAAATCTTGTTGAATGCAAGCATTGCAAAGCATTGTTAGTGCTGATTAGTTTTGACATTGCACACCATGGCAAATACTATTCTGTAGTCTCATGCAATGATGTTTTGTTGTGTAAATTGAGACAAAGCATCATATGAAAAAAACTTCAACATTTATCTTATTTGATCATGTATTCTGGTTGTTGTGGCATTGGGAACTGGAGAAAGACTAGAGACAAGAGTGGAGATGACTATAGTTGAGGAGTTACCCGGACCCCCGTGGCAGCATCGGTGAATCTCATTGACAGTCGGGTTGTCCTCTGCAGACTCAGTCGGAGAAAAAAAAAGTACCACATTTGAGCAACACGAGCCATCTTTCCCGACAAAAATTCCAAATCATGGACTCCGATCGTTATTTCGTTGGGGAGCGCGTCATTCTGGATGAACGTCACTTGGGAACCGTGCGATTCTGTGGACCTGTCGAAGGAGAAGACCAAGGCCAGACTTGGCTGGGCATCGAATGGGATGACCCGACTCGTGGCAAACACAGTGGACAATTCAAAGATGGTCCTGTGCTATTCCAACCATTGTCAGTATGAAATTTTCCCACTTCTTTGGCAGTATATTTCCCTTTTTTGGTGTAGCGTTTTTTCTTTTTTCTTTTTTCTCGCTGCTGAAAGCAAGTACCGACGCTTTCGTAGCTTTCTTCTCCAACTGTAGAATTCCGAACTCAGGAACCTTCATGAAACCTTCGAAGAGGCTGGGGACCGGACGGTCGTTCCTAGCTGCCCTGAAAGAGAAATACTTGGATGAGCACTTGCTCAATGCAAACAAATCTAACATCCGGACGGAAGAAGACAGTATGCGCAAAGTTGCTCTGCGCTTTTCTCAATTAGATCGACTGCGATTGATTGGCCTCGAGTCATCAAAGATCAATCGAGCCGGAAATGAGTTGGAAATTAGGGAACTTGAGGGCTTGCTTCCATGTGAGTACCCATTCATTCATCTAAAGTGCTAGAGATTTGGAAGAATACTGAGCAATCTGAAAATTCATGAATTTGTGCAGCCGTAGAGACATTGAATTTGTCTTCGAACATGTTTTCCGACTTGGCTGAGGTTGCTACAATTGCTGGAAAATTACCTCGATTGAAGACACTTGTCTTAAGGTTGATACTTGCAATCCAAATCGTTCCTTTAATCGGAGAGAGCTGACAATGATCTATTTCTCAATACAATCGAGTAGCTCAAACCGCTTTCAGTTTATCCCTGAGATGCTATCCGGGCTCTTTGCTATAGAAATACTTTATCTCGATTCAACCCTTCTCACATGGAAACAGGTTGGGACCCCGCCACTTTTCCAGCACTTCAAATGAGGAAGCAACTACCTCATCTGATTGAGCTTTCCCCTTTCTCCAGAGCCTCAAGGTTGCTTCTCAGATCAAAGCTCTTGTTGAGCTTTCTCTCTCCAATTGTCGGATTGGACATTTCGGTTTAGACAATGTTCCTACCCATGAACCATCTTTCGAAAACCTTTCTGTACTTAGTTTGGACGAAAATGGCTTGGGGAACTGGCAAGATTTGATGCTGAATTTAAAGTTGTTTCCACGGTCAGTTAAATTCGAATCTGAGCCCATTCAACTTGTCAAGCAGCGTCCAGTTTATCGGTCTGTCACTCTTTTTAATAGGTAGACTTCAAACTCTCAACCTCAGAAGAAATAAACTGAAGATTCCTCCTATGGAGAATCTAGTCATGGTCCTGAAATCAGTTCACCAGCTCAGCCTTGTGGGAAACCTGATTGCCGAGGGCAGTGAGATCGATAATCTGCGAGACTATTTGCCTGGATTATCTTCCCTCTTTCTTGATGGCAACCCTCTATACGGCGGTTAGTTGTCAAAATTTTCATAGCATCCAAATGCCATTGATTTTATTTTTAATTTGATGTAATTTTAGCGCAAGATGTGCGAAAGAACCGCCTGCTCGCATTAGCTCGATATCCGACGTTGGTTCATCTAGATGGCAGCCAGGTGCGATGATCAGCTGCAAGGTCCTAGGCTACCCGGATAATAATCATGCTTCCTCAGCCAATAGGTCACACCTGCCGAGAGGACGGAGGCAGATTTGTTCTACTGGTCAATAGTCAAAAAAGATCCAGCAGATCACGAGCAAAGGAAGAAGTTACATAAGAGATATGCGGAACTATTAGCAAGTATGTCTTTCCCAAATACCACCCATCTGGATTCTTGGACTGAAAAATTGATATGGCTCGATATGACCCCCCTCTACTCAGAATTTGGGTTACCCGAACCTGAATCAAACCATACGCGTACAAGTGCACTCAAGGGCAAAATGATAAGTACGCACCTTCCTCCCCCTTTTTTGCTCTATTTTACATGTCGTTGAAGATCCATCTGCTTTTTGCCTTTACATAATTATCATTAGACCTTACGGTTGTCTGCGCAGGATGTGTATCGCTCGATCGAGAACATAACATCGAGGTTTTGCCGAGTATGACTGCCCGGGGATTGAAGATTTACCTGGCTAAGATGATTCGACGGAGCTCCCATTCCGCAAAGAGTGTCTCTGAGATTATGGCGACTCTGGAGGTACATGTGGCGGATAAGGATAATGAGACAAGACATGTAGTCGATCTCTCGGATCCTCAGAAAGACCTTGGATGGCTTGGAATTTCTGGTGGCGATACCCTGGAGGTCTCTTTCTAAATACCTATGATTTAAAAATACGTCTGACAATTTTTGTGGTGTCAATTTGAATCATACATAGCAATGGTATTCAATAACCTGGATTTTTTTCTTGTGAAGAGCTTGCAAACGCCAGTTCACCAGCAATATTGGACAGCCATAAGTTGAAGAAAACAACACCTTCCATAAGCAAATATTTTTAAAACCACCCACCCCCTTTTTATAGGCTCTATCTATTGTAAGGCATTTTCACTCTGTCCATTTTCTCATCTAGATCCATTTCTTTCCTTCTGGCTGCTGAAAAATATCTAAACAAACCAGTAGCAATTACCAAGGCATCATTTGTTAACATCAGTATCATATTTGAGCATTGTAAATGTAGTGGTATGGAAATCCTTATCAAATCATTTGGAGATTTTAACCAATATCCAAAACTTTGTTTACAGTGCTCACTCATGACACAATCAATGGAGTAGAGATTGTTTGTTTGTACTCAGGTACCTGTTGAATTTTTTCAGAAAATAGGTACCAAGTACTGCACCTGGAACCTTCTGGAGGGTACAAACTTATCACAAGTCCCCCTGGTGAGAGGCTTGCTGGTGTGACTGGCTGGGTGTGAAGCGCCCCCTCCTGAAGGGAGGGACTTGAGACTTAGAACACTTTCCCGGTGTGAGGCAGAAACATGGTTTTGGTGGTGGCGACCTTGTTTGCCCCACCACTCATTCATTACAACTCAAATTTATTTTTAGTTCATGTGGATGAAAGATCTACATAATTCAGATTTTTGTATATTTTTTTCATTGCAAAAACCAGTTTGGTTCTGGTAGAAAACATGCAATGAAGTTCATGATTTTGAACTTTGATTTGCAAATTTGGCAGAGAGGCTCAAGTGCACTCTCAGTATAAGCATATTCTGTGCCTGCAAAATGAGAATTTGTCTTTTTTCTGTTTGTTCTTTTAAAAAAGATTGGTATGGAAATAAAAATATGAAAAAATACAGAAAGATCAAGGAGATGTCATAGAACAAGAAACAAAGCACAATGAAATTTTGAGAACAATAACATCAAAAGCAGAGGGGAAAATGCAAAAAAGGACCTCAAAATCATGCCTGCCTCATGCAAGCTTTGAGTAATAGTACCCGACCCGGATTCAACCCGACAGGTTGGCAGGGCGGGTATGATCATGACGGATTGTATTCGGTGTTGATGTCTAAGCTCTCTGTCTGAACTCACCTGGTCCCTAGTCTTCATTTTCCCTCAAATCAAAAAAGCGATGTCATCTGGCTCATGCATTTGCGATGACATCATTGCGCTCAAACCCCTGATACTCTTGCGCGGCAGTCATCTTGCACAATCCTTATCCCTCTTCCTCTTCTGTGGTTAGTGTCTTGTACAATCCCTTTCTTTTATCATTATCATCTCTCCTTCTCTCCTCAGTTTCTCTATCCTCCTCAGGATCTCCTAATCAATTCCTCACAACACATTCCTCATCATCTTCACTCAAGATCCTAGTCTATTGTTCTCTTCATAGAACAGCTATCACCTCTCAACCTACATTGTTATCACTTCTTCTCTCACATCATCGTTCTTTCTGGATCAACATCATCTTCTTCCTGTCTTGATCCTTGTCTCTCCAAAATCTCTTCCCTTTGACAACTCACCAATCTACTGTTCTTTGAAATCTTCCTTTGTTCATTTTAGGTTCTCATCAACCTCTCTTCTTCACTGTTCTCACATTGGCCCCTCTTCCCTTGTCAGATCTTCCTTATTCAGACTCCTGTTGTTATTGTACCATAGTGCACTGTTGTTCTTTTCATTTGTCATCTACTGCTTTTAGGTGATTATGATCTCTTTTCTTTTTTCTCTCCTGTCTTGTATTTCTTTGACTGGCGCTTGTGAAATACAATCTTTCAGTCTATCCATTAACATTTGGGTCGGCTTGAGATTGACTAACTGGCCTGATTGAAAGGAATTAACTGAGCATTTTCTGGGTTGACCCGGCATGACCCGACCCAAGGCACTGTGTATTTTGGCCGAGTTTGGTCAACATTTTGCCCTTTTTGCTCCAACCTGCCCCGCCCCGCCCTGAGAATTTGGCAGGGCGGGTTTGTTCACCATTTTGTGACCCAAACCCGGCCCATTTGGAACCTGATTATACATCTCAAATACATCACATGTCCGTTTCTCATCCACCCCCTCATGACCACCACCAAGACCAAACCAGCCAGTGACCTATTATCACAATCAGCCAAGTTGTTAAACCCCAACCTAGGTTGGTCCTAGCAGTCAAACCAGACGGGATGATGACGGCCCAGAAAGCAAATGTGTCCTCCAAATACCAAGGGTTACTTGAGGGGCACTGGAAGAATGCCAAGGTGAAAGGCTAGTGCTCAAGACAAAAGTCTTCTTTGGCCCCAAGAGTACTGTGATTGCCGCTATTTGGACTGGTAAGGTCTCTGAGGGACTCAGCAAGATTGAGAGGGCTGAGAAGCCTTGTAAGATCCTCGGCTCTGGGGCTAAGGCATTGAACACACACATCAGACATAGTAGGGAGGTCCTTGTCAATACTGTCTGGATCTCTCATGATGCTGCTTTTGCCACCATGGTCTTGACCTTCAATTACCTAACTTAATGCAGCCCCTCTTTATCCAGAGGGGAACACTGTCCTGCAGAGACCCCCTGAATGCCTGTGGGACAGCATTGTCAGATGCTGACTATATCTCTCTTTTCTTAAATGACTATTCATAATTCCACAAGGAATTATTAATTGTCTATATTAAGAGATATATTCAGACAAGTTAACTAATGAAAGATTAACTTCTTGAAAGGGAACGTGAGGAAGTGTAAGATGGAATTTATATTTATAAGTGTCTTGAAGATTTCAAATGAGAATGAGGACATAAGAACAAAGATCTTTTGATAAGAAAAGAAACAAGAATCAAGGGGAAGGAACTTTATAAGAAGGAGAATGGCTGGAAAGGATCAAGGAAAGAGACTGAGAAACAAACTACCCAAATCAGAATGAAAAAAAAGAAAAAAAAAAAAACAGATAAAGATCAAGACCCAAGCATAATTCAATAACTATCATCTTTCACTGAATAATCGTTCTGAAATCTGAATTCTCCAAGTTATTTTGAATGATGACAGAGAAGATCAAAAGCCTTACAAGTGTTTCCTGTCCAAAAAGACTGCAAGAGACTTGATTAAGTTCAATCAATTACCTAGGATGGCTTAGTGCTGAAAGCCAGGCGAGTCTGTTTGCACAAACACAAGCACAATATGGATGCCCCTTCATGGAGAGGTGCACTTGCAGGCAAGTGCTTCCTTATCCAGGGCTGTTTGATCAGTGCTTGCTTGTCTGGGCAATTTGGTGGCCTAGAAACCCAGTTTTCATTTGTTGTTTTTTTTTTTTTCTTGGCTCGTATTTGGGATGCCAGTGCCTCCATGGTGCACACAGGTTACATATGTGATGGCATTGTAATTATCAAGAAACACAAAAAAAGAAAAGAAAAAAAATATGAACTAATCGTTTTATGGATTGATCAATAGCCCGGTTCACGTAGGGCAGTTTTAAGACATGTCACAAAAACCTCACTGCTCGAGGCATAAAGTTTTATGACTAAAATTTTGTCGCTCCTCACTATCCCCTGCTCGTCAATCTCCTGCCACTTGCTCGTACTAATTATTTTTCATAAAAACTCATATCACCCAACTCTCCCCCGATCATCTCATCCCTCCTCATCCCTCTAACCTCTCCCCTTGTCCTCCTCAAAAAGACTTCGGCATTCCATTCATGGATTATTGATCAACTCCTACTCTTCACTTATCGATCGACTGCTCCCTATCGATGATTGACTGCTCTTTACCGATTGACTCCTACTCTTTACTTATCGATCGACTGCTCTTTGTCTATTTCATGATGTCTGATTGCTTATTAGTCTTATCGCTTGTGTTCTTTTTCTTCTCGCTTGTTCTACTTGTGTTTTTTTCTTCTCGCTTGTTCTGTTTGCAAATGAATAGTACAAAATATCCAGTCGTATCAAATCTTTGGCACTGCGGCAGAGTGACGAGGTGCCTTTGGTGTGAAAATTGACAAGCAGAACAAGTTCTGTAGTAGTGAGGTGGACGGGGGGCGGGGGTGGTAGGTGAGGTGATTTGTGATGACAAGCACGCTTCCGTATGCTTGTTTGAGGATTGGTTGTTGCTCGCGGGCCACATTACAAGTTAAAAAAATTAGTGAGGTTTGGTTGCTGGTTGCTCGTTTTGAAATTTTTAACTGCAGACGAGCAGCTACGTGAACCAGGCTAATATCTTTCTTGTTTTCATTTGATTTTTTTTTTTTTTTTTTTCACAAAACACACTTGAAACATAACTTCATATCCCGCACTGGATGTGCAGTAAAATAAACCTGGATATGTAGTATGTTTATATTTTTTTTGTTCACCTCTTCACACCATTTTTTTCTTAAAAAAAAACACTGAATATCCAGTTTTTTTTACTCCATATCCAGGAGGTAGTGTTGAAAGTGGTACAAAACAAGAAAAAAAATCAATAATTGTTTGTAAATAAGAGCAATATATATATGAATATTAGAGAGGAAGAAGAATGTAATATAGTGTAATACATCAAGTATGAAAAAGATAAGAAATGACAGCCAAAGAAAAAGAAAGAAAAAGAAGAAAAGAATGACGGAAGAAAATTCTGTGAAACAAGTGATTGATATACTGATAAACTATGAGAGTAAGTGAGCAGCGAAGACCTTAACATTAAGCGGTTTCCCGTTGATCCCAGTGACGATTTGAACGCGCTGATGGAGCCGAGGTTTGAGGAGGATAGTGTCGAGATGATTATCGACGATCGCGTTGCCCTGGAGGAAGGAGATGGAGTTGAAGAGAGCGGAGATCCACGAGACGGACGAGCCTACGAGACACGCCAACCATTGAGAGGGGGGCGGGAGGATGCCGTGGATATCGTAAGTATGGAGGACCCGATCGGAGCTAGTCACTTTCCGATACTTGATCCGCGCCGCCGCTAACATCGCCGTCCGTTCCTCGGCCTCCATTCCTCCCTCTTCTCGACATAGATAGTCTTGCTCAGGCACTAAGCTCTCGTCGCCCCCATACTCATCCCGCAACAGTCGGCTCACTAGTCCTTCCTCGATCCCGCCCAAGATCTGCCCCGCCGTCTCCTCCGTCGTCTTCGAGTGTCGTACCGCTACCGGTCCTTGTAAGATCGCTACTCGTTGCGGGTCTTGGTCTACCACTGCATCAATATCCTCGGATTGCCATAATGAATCCTTCTTGAACCCTGTTTGTACCCACAGTGAATCACTCAGCGCACTATCCCTTTCTTTCTGGATGAAAACTAGCGAGCTCAATTATCCAGAAAGAGAGGACCTACAGATTCCAAATTGAGCATCAAGTACCGGAATGAATGGCACAGGTTTCTGGCCAGGTCGTTGACACAACGCCAAGAAGTAAGCGATATCTTCAGAGGCTAAGATCTGAGTACTAGCCTCAGGATATCTAGTGAAGAAGGTTTCCAACTTCGAGAATGGTTCGTCTAGTTCAGAGTAGGATTGGATCTCTGAGACTTTAGGAGGCCCATTGACGACTGATAATCGTTCTTCAATCCGTCGAAGCCCTATATAAACCAAAAAAAAAAAATTAATCATCTGACAAGGTTCTTCATTTTTTTTTCTCATTGTAGAAAGTGATTGAAGGGAAATGAAAGAACTAACAATCTCCAACTAAGTTTCGTAAAGTAGGATCGATCCACCGAGCCTGATGTTTAACAAACAGCAAACGGACGAGCCTTGAGACGGTTTCCTGATAAGTCATCTCGCCCAACTCGGCAGGGTGGCCGTCTTTCTCAGCAAACCACGGTTTCTGGAAGTCCGCATTCAACCGCTTGATCACATATTCCTTGTGAGTCTTTAACCACGCCGCACGTTTCTCACGTGGCAGAGCAAATACAGTCCTGATTTGCAGTAATTATGCAGGAATCACATAGGATCAATGACGATTTAAAAAATGAGCTATCTATCAGATGAAAGAGCAAATTCAAAGAGTGAAGAATACAACATACTGGTCAAATTCTTTCCACAACTTGATTCCTCGAGTAGCGATCTTATGGATCGGTTCACCGAGTTCAGAAGTCACAGTAATGATCCCACCAGTTTCGCGCTCGTAAGTGCCTTCCCACTCTTGATCGTCGACGCCTTTAGCCTGGACGATGAGTTCCTTAACAGACAGACTGGTAGCGGCCTCCTTAGCGACCATCATTCGACTAGCGAACAAGACCCCATCGAAGGGCATAACTTCTACCCCGAACCGGTCCCGAGACCAATGACCGGTGAGATAGGGATAGACATCTTCGGCGCTCCCAAAGCCGGACCCGACAACCAAGATCAAGTTGGATTGGCTTCGGATCGAGGCGTAGGTGGCCAGGATAGGTTGATGGAAGTCTTCGCAACTATGGTGTCCCCCTGCTCGTCCTCCCGTCCATTGACAAATCACCGGGAAGTCCGGGTTGGCTGCGGCGATGTTGATGACCTGGCGGATCCCATCCACCGATCCTGGCTTGAAGCTCACATGCTTAATCCCCGCTTCCCTCAACCCTTCAATGATCTCCTTGGCCTTCTCCGTACTTGGGATTCCTGCCGCCACTACAAAGCCTTCCATCGGTAGCCCCTCCTTACGCATCTCAAGCCATAGTGGAAACTGGAACGCCCATTGCTTTTGGTTGATGTATAACGCATTCAAGGTGAACCCTAGGCCCGGCTTTTGTAACTTGGCTTGAATCGCTGAGATTTTCGAGCGTAAGGCTTTCGCATTGTAATGTCCACCTCCAGCTAGTTCAATGTGATAACCTGCATTCATTACCCTAGTTTTATGAAAACAATATTAGTTGAGAAAAATGTATTAAGTAAACTGAAAAGAAAAGAAAAGAAAAACGAGACTTACGCGGCATTGAAATCAGTCGGGACAGTGCATGGAGTCATTCCAGCCACCATCAAAGGGGGCTTACTCAACAACCTAGAGAACGGAGTATCGATTTGAAGCCGACCATCCCTAAAAAAAATATCAATCAATAACTAATCACCAGTCTCAACAAAAACAAAACAAAACAAACGAACTTGGTTTTGACCAAGCGAATCTTATATTTCTCGGCCCATTTCTGTTCCCTAATTATGTCCCTTGAATCATAGACTTCATTCATGGATTTGTGGCCTTGTCCGGAAGCGGGCAAGCCTACGAAGACGAGTCGATGTCCTTTGCCCTCGATGTTTCGGGCCACTAAGGAGCCGATACCCGACAAGGTACCCAACCCAAAGCTATTTTTTAAAAAAAAAAAATACAAATTAACCTCAAACCAGTTTTTTTGCGTTTTTTTTTTTTGAAAACAAGAGGAGTGGAGGGAGAGAGAGACTTACTCGATTATGTGGGTAGTATCATCCGGAAAAGCGCAAGCCTTAGTCCAATGAATAGGGGAAGTAAAGATGAGATCAGCGAGAGAGCTCAGCAGATCTTTGTGTTCGACGCGCATATCGACGCCATTCTCGGTGTTAAAGACGGGGCAAGAGAGGCGGGCTTTATGGGCCGCCCACCACGCCCGTTCCTCCTCCCCCACTCCGCCCTCTTCGACCGGACCCATCAGACGCGCCGTGCAGCCTTCTAAATGCGCCGAATGGTACGGCACGCCTATCGGTAGAAACCGCATCGAAAAAACCGGTCGTCGTTTGCTGAATGGAATCTTGATAGTAATCATAATGGATTTAAATGAGCTTATGCGAATGTATATAGTGTGTGTTTTTTTTGACAAAAAAAGAAAAACAGGCTTACTTTGGATTGATCGAGCCCAGGTTCAGCTTTAGAATTCCGAAGCGCGGCGACCAAGCCAACCAACGTACGAGGATGACCGGAGACGACGAAAGCTTTGGGGCCATTGAAGAGCGAGACGTTAGCGTCGTTGGGAGCGAAATAGGGCTGGATGGCTTGGATGGCTTTTTGGAGCTGATCGAGGGCGAGCCCGGTGACGGCCAACATCGGGGTCGGGAGGCCCTCGTGTTCGGCGGTGGTTCCGATGAGCTTGGGCGGTAAAGAAGTCTGAGGGAAGCGTAATGAGGCGTGCAAGCCGATGTGGAAGAGCACCGTGATCGCATGGATCGCCCCGCAATGGAACTCCGCCCAGTTGTTCTCAGGCCCTGGTAGCTCTCCCGCTACTAATGCCGCTACTACTACCCCCTGCGAATGGCCGGCCACCCCGCCTTTCAGCTGTGAGGAGATCTCGTTCGGCGTCAGTCCTTGGGCTTCTCCCAGGACGATGTAATGGGCTAGTTGGACGAGGCCGATCAACGGGAGTGAGAGCGCGCAACTTGCTAAGTATGTCGTAGGCGGTTTGCTTCCTGGTTCATTCAACCACTGGATCATACCATCAAAAAAAAATCACTATCTTCAGCTCTTCTTTGATCTTCTCATCTGATATGTTTTTTTCAATAAATCATTGCGGAATGATATTGACTTACCTTGAGGATCTGGATCCCGTGAGGTTTGTATAAAGAACTGGCTTGCGCATGGGGTGATGAGCAGAGCGAGTGGAGGTGGCGATCTGCGAGCTCGAGAAACGGGTGCAGAATCGTCGGGTAAAGGGAGTATAAATTCTGTGTTATTATTATATAGCGTAGGACGAAAATGATGATGGAACACACAAAAAAAAGAAAGAAAGAATACGTTCAGTGGAAATGGAAGTTGTCGAGTATAAAGATGCAGTGACTGACGACTAGTTCCTGCCAATAGGTTTCATTAACACCCTGGCCGCCGAACACGCCGGCAAGCTTCTTGTTGGGCTGATCATCTTTCCACAATCTGCCCACGGGAGGAGAGGGGCAATTGGGAAGGAGCTCTGGGATAGCATTGCGGGCGAGATAATAAGCCTTGATGACCAAGCGCCGAGCCAGGTCGGAGGTTGTTAGTTGGAAGGCAGCCGAGTGGAGATCGATGGCTCGGTTGTTGAGGATCTCGGAGTGGAAGTAAGTGAGGGAGATCTGGATGAGTTGTTTGTGATGAGGCCGGTTGGGATGGATGGACAGGAAGTGGAGGTAATGTGCGAGGAGGATGAGGCTGGCTTCTTGATGGTGTCTCTCATTTTGTTTTTCTTCTTTTCCTTCTTCTTGTTCTTCTTGTTCTTGTTCTCCTTCTTCTTGGGATCGGAGGATGCCCTGTTGACCGTTGCTGAGCTGGAGCAGGGGCGAGTCCGGTTGGTGGTCGAGCCAGGCTGTGAAGTCGTCCCTGGTGCTCTCCGCGTGGCTTATGATCTCTTCCGAGCTCGGCAGCGGCAGTGACAGCCGGGCGCCCGATGGCTGGTGAGTGATCTGATGGGGACGAGTTATTAGAGGCTTCATTCTCGTCTTCTCCCTACTATTCCACTATATAAGTATCACTCCGGCTCTCTATGTAAACACTATGAACTCGTATGGGATAACCTCTTTCTCTGTTTATTATTGTGTGTTTTGGTTGTTGTGGGTGGAGGAGGGTGATGATGGAGAAGATGAAGGGCCCCTCCAGAAAACTGTTATGATTAGTTTGGCGATGCAGCAGAGGCCGAGAGCACTCAGGCATTACTCTTCATTATATTCCATCCCATCCCCCCACCAGCACAGCATGAGTCCCCCAACTCAATCATTTCAGCCAGCCTGCGTATATGGCTATGAAGCGCGAACCGACGTACACTTGCGCTTCGCCTAAAAAACACACACTCCAGCCTCGCAGACTAACAACAGCCTTGGAAGGTTGTTGGGCCGAGGAAGGAAATATCCAGGTACATACCCCAACCACTTCTTGGGATCTACAACAACAACAACAGCAGCAGCAGCAGCAACAGAGAGGAGCGAGCTGGCAGACCGCCAAGCTCGCGAGTCACGCTATCTTGTATGTATCTACATTCTCATTCACCTATTTAGCATCAGGCTCGAGCCGCTCATCGAATATTCCTTGGGGGCTGGGGTTCACTCTCTCTTCTGCTCTTGGGGGGCATCCTCGGCGCTCTCTGCAAGGGGTCTCCGATTCAGAATGTCAGTTGTATTTATCATTCACGATTCAAGACCAAGTTCCTGTGTCCATTAAAGGCTCAGCGATTAGGAGAAGAGATGGTTTTAGGAAGAGCTTCAGATTGCAAGACAAGCAGCAAGCGCACCTCACACCTGCACACATAATTGACAGAGGCGCTGTTCTCCAAATCACTCAGCTCTTGTCTGCCAGCGGAGGAAGAAATGTCGGGGAACTTGAGCATCCTTATACAAGTTACAACGTTTCGGAGAATCGATTAAGATTTTATTAGGTTATCAGAATCAGATTGTACACGTAATCATCCAGCGGAAAGCAGAGTTTTGTATTCGAACGATCATCAGGGCGGATACGAAAAAACACTCAACATTTTACGCATGTACCGATAATCTACATCCATCCATACAAACCATGAGGACCTTGATACCAGCAAGGTTCGCCAGCTTCGGCCTCATGGCTCAAAGCTTCCGTGATTTTTTTTTATTTATGTACGAACTACGAATTAAGGACAAGGTTTCGGCACCCGTTGGACGCACGTGCCGAGGCCGCCATCAACGAGGACCCAGGAAACCACCTATAAATGTCAGTAACCAAAATGTATGAATGGATTTTCACCCTACACAACCACTTTGGCTGAACATCAGATGTGATATCTGGATAGTTGCCACATCAGGACATGTACATACTAAATGTGCATCATGTACAAGTGTTCTTTAGTGGCTAACCTTAACCAGTGAGTTTTAATAACGGAAAAACTAAAGAAAAAAAATGTATGAATTTTTTCTCAGATTTTTTTTTTTTTTTAGTTTTTTGCTTCTCAAGGCTCACTGGTGAAGATTTACCACTAAAAAGTCTATGGGCAGGATGCACCTTCAGTATGTACATGTCCTGATGTGGCAACAATCCAGATATCACATGTGATGTTCAGTCAAAGTGGTTGTATACATTTTTACGTTTTGGTTACTGACATTTATAGGGGGTTTCCTGGGTCCTCATCAACGACCTTCGTTTGGCTCCAATTTCTTTCATAATCTTGTCAACCCCTCCCCAAAAAAAAGATGTTTTGAATGGGTTTCTGAGTATTTAACAGTACCAATATGTGTGGCGGAAAAGGTTCGCCACCCTGAAGAAAGAGAGAGAGAAACAGAAAAGTGACGGAGCTCAGATTCACATGTATAATAAGTGGAATCCAAACCGATGTGTTTTGGTTGGATTTTTGCTTTGTTTGTTTCATCAAACTTGACGATACAATAAGAAAATCGGATGCTTATATGCGTGTGTTTAAAATAGTAGCAAAACAGTTAAAGAAATGGATACACTTGAGACATGAATATTCACACATATATGATAATTAGAGATGAGCGTAGAGAAAAAAAAAAAACGACCAATGTACGACATCTACCAACACCAACCGGTCTGATCACGAGTATCACGATCAGATGTGGGTCCTCGACTGCGTCCCCAATCAGCTTCCTCCTGCTCCTGCTCCTGCTGCTTCTTTTTGAGTCCAGAATAGTGATTAATGTACCGATGCTGGTCATGATCTTCTTGTTGCGAGGATTCTTCGGTGATGTTGTCCAAGTCACTGTGTCTTCTTGAGCTTCCAAATCTCACAGCTGTCTTGTGCACATTCTTGTTGCGGCTTCCATCCCTCATCGGCTTCGTCGACCGGTGATGTGAGGTCGTCTGGGGTCCCCGATCCCCAATCATTATTCCAACCCGAGATGGTAAAAAATAAATCAAATCAAAAACACATGACAAAAAAAAAACGTGGTTAGCATTGCTCATTTATTTTTCTCTTTATTCTAGACTTGTTATGCCTTGGTTTTGCTATCTCCCCCCCTCCTCTATATCCTCTGGCTGCAAACACACTCTCGTGCGCATTGCTGATAATATGTATGTGTGGGAAACAGATTTCTTGCGGTGTTGATGCTTATTACCAGAAAAAAGAAATGAGGGAAAAAAAAGTTGACAGGAGAGACGCAAATGTTGAAGAAAAAAAAAGAGAAAGAAAAAAAAACGTGTCCGATTGAAAAAGCAGTGGGTTTTTGTCCAGATCTTGTAGTCGACACATGGATGTCCACAGCAAGATCAAAAAGACGACTGAAGCCATTTGTCCTCAGAACCCCCTATATGATGATCAGTCGGCCAAAAGTCGAGTGCACATACGGAAGAAAATCCACATGATTGGAAGCATGATAGGACGCGGAAGTTCCAGTTCGGTTGATTGACACGGACGATATCAAAAGCATAAGATTTGTCGGGTGGTGGGTATTTGAATAAGTCAAGCACCAACCAACGAAGCGAGTGAAGAAGAAGAAAAAAAACGGATCAGAGTCGAGTCATGTGTGGTCGAGGTAAGGTGACGTTGATAGTCGATATGATGAATGATATCCCAGCGAAGCAAACCATCACATAGAAAACCCGAAGTCCCCAGAAAGATTAGAAAGGAAGAATGAATGAAAAGGAGGGAGAAGAGAGGCACAGAAGGTGAGTAAACAAGATGAAAGAAAAAGAAAAATTGGCGCACAGGAAGAGTAGAAGGATAAGCTGAAGGAGTGAATAAAGGAGGAAGGTGATAGTGATTAGCGGACATGACACCTGCAAAGATCCCCATTGCCAGCTCGTCGCCGTCTTCAGTCTCCTCGTTATCGGGGGAGGATGAATGCGATGATGGTGGTGGGGAGCGCCTCCTCGTCTTTGATTTGCCGGCGTTCTGGTTCTGAGAATCCTACAGATTTGTCATACACAAGGTTTCGCGTTAATACATATTTCCAAAAGAGACCAATCCTCTTTTAACATCCCACCTTTTGTCGACGAGAGTCGCGTTGATTGTTTGAATTGTTGGGTCCTTGACTTCCACCAGCCTTCTTACTTTCGCCCTTGTTCGTGTTCCAGCCGCCTGTCTCGCCATTGGTGTTTGTGTTCCAGCTGCTTTGCGAGTCCTGAATAAACGGACGATTATCAATTTTGGTTTTTCCGGTTAAAATAATCTGGAATAGATGCGGCCGATCCAAGCGATTTTGCTCACGTTTGTTTGTTGATTTGAATCATCATTTCCTTTTCAAAAGAAGAAGAGACACTTTAACACGGTGGTGAGATACCAAGCAAACGTCCACTCTGAGACTTACCAAATCCAGCGTTGCCATTCCAGCCAGTCCACTTCAAATAACCGGTAAGAAGATAGATGATCAATACCATAAGAGTAACAGATGAAGGATCGAGAGCTCAAATTGTGATTGCTTACTGAATTGTCGTCTTCCGGTTGAGGAGGTGGGCCTCCTCCTTTCTTAGATGTTTGATTTTTAACCTTACCCTTACCCTTCGAATTCGGATTCTTGTTGGGGTTGTTCTGAGAGCCTTGGCTTTCGTCATTCGATGGCTCACCACTCCAAGAGGTAGAGTTGGGCTCAGAATGGCTGTTGTTAGAGTTAGCCCATTCGTCGTTTGCGGGTTTGGCGGGGGGAGCCGAGTTCCATTGATTGCCGTTTGGTTTATTCGGACTTCTTGAAGGATGAGGGTCGCCACCAGGGTGTTGATAGCCGTTGCGATCGCCGGCTGGTGCTTCCCATTCGACACGCATGGGAGGCCGTTGACTGTGTTCATAAGGATATTGGAGTGCCGGGACAGGTGCGGGCATCGGGAAAGGAGGGGGGTAGTTGTGGTACATCGGATGGAAATCGAGCCCGGGGGCGCGTCGGTTCCAGAACTCTTGCTCATATCCAGGGCCCGGTCGATAGGAGTACATGGCTCGCGGATCGCCATAGTCAGGTCCAGGAGGGCCTGGGTGAGGCCAAGGTTTGCTGGAATGTACAAGCGGCAGGTTCGACGGGTGAGACCACTCCAGCTGCTGCTGAGGCCGGTTCATCATGGCGCCCGGATGCATGTGTCCATAGCTGCCTGGGAACGGAGCCACTGGACTCCCAGCATAAGCATCCGGTGCATTCCTGCTTTGTTTGTCGCCTTTGTTCTGAGGATTTGTCTGCTGCTTACCCCGCTTCGTTGAACCATCATCATCATTGGCAGCAGCAGCAGCTGCTGAACTATGATTTTCAGCATTGCCTCGAGCTTGCTTTCCCCTCTCTTTATTCCCCTTCTTCTGAGATTCATCTCCTCCATCCTTTTTACCCTTTTGACCTTTTTTAGGCTCATTTGTTGAGCCACCCGCGTTGGTATTGCTATTGGAATTACTGGGCCATCCACCCGGTGCAGTGGTAGTAGTATCAAAGTCATTTGACCAACCACCGGCATTGGTAGTATCGGTAGGGTTATTAGACCAATCACCGGCGTCGGTGGTATCATTATTGTTGTCGTCCTGCTCTTCAGGTGCCTGATTCCAGCTCCATCCCGTTGATGGATCATTCTGCGGCTTTTTTTGGGAAGCTTGCTTCTTTTTCTCGTTTTTCTTTTTCTGAGGATCGTTTGTTTCGGCTCCGAAATCTACCCACCCGTTTTGAGAATTATCTACGCATTCGTTTTGGGAGTTTCCAAGATCTTCGTCGGCTTGATCGGTGCTTTCAGCCTCGGTCGCCGGTACACCCCAACCACCGTTCCCGATCGAGTCATCAGTGTTCTGACTTGCTTGTTCATCATTTCGTTTACCTTTATTCTTGTTCTTAGTATTTTGAGCTTCTCCCGCCATACCTGTACCTTTGGGTGCTTTGCCTGGTTTGTTCGAAGGCAATGGCTTTTGTTCCGCATTTTCGTTGGCGTCGGCAGGTGACACTATTGACGGAACTGAAGGGACCATGTGAACAGCCTTGACATCGTTTTGATATAATCAACATGTTTGGGGTCATAACATCGTGATTCAAAAATACTCTGCAAAAAAAAGAATCTTCACTTACCGTTCCCGTAGCTAATATCTATCCGGATCGACCCATCATCATGAAACCATTAGGATTGAGATTGACTAGGGAGAACGAAGAAAAGGCCTTACCTCGGTTAAAGAAAGCGAGATGAAGGTGTTTTGGAACTTAAGACCGATCACGAAGTTAGCGCCCTTCCTTTCGGCCTGGCGCCACATGGCAAGCGTCGCTTGATCGCGCTCTTGCGTGAGCGTGACTTCGTTTAGGTCTTTTGCCGCTTTTTGATTTGCGTCCATTTTCGATCATAGGAATAAATATGAATCAAACAAAAAAGCAGGATTCAGCAGGATGGCTGTGATTCAAATGAGATCGATCAGTTCACTTACAATTTCTCAATGCCACCCCCTGCACGTGACCATAGACAGCGGCAACCCTGAATCCTCGTATCGTAGACATTGTCCTGGAGTAAGAGGTTAGTCCAGAAAAAAAACGATCAGTTTCAGGTTTCCGCCACGATTCTCGAACAAAACAGGTTGTAAAGGAAGCTACGGGGAAACTGAGAGAGCCCAAAAATTGAGGGGAAATACTTACGTTACTGGCAGTGCGGAATCATCAAAAGGATAATATGGTTCTTTCGAGCCACCGGTATATTTGAACTGTTGTTCGCGTTTAACGGGCTCTTTCATTGGGGCATGATAAGCAATTTTATTGGGCTTAAGATTGTTACTATTAGAGGCTCCCCAGAGATCATTAGGACTGTTAGTTGATGCAGCGGGAGGAGGGGCGGGCGAGGCGTGAACGATGGCGGACATTCGATTGACAGTCTGAGCGGTCGAAGGATTGCAGTAGAGGTCTCTGCGCGAAGGGTGTGAGGGGTTGCCCGGTCGAGAATATCCGTCTTGGGTATAACCACCTCTTAAGGGTGCAATCTGTTGGGGATTTAAATGGGTACCCATGGCCGAGCCGGGAATGAATGGTGTGCTCAAGTTTGCTTGTCCCACCGAACTGAAATGTTCATGTTAGTGTAGAGAAAAATCGATCACATGTTTTTTTCAAGGTCTAGACTTACTTGGCGCGCTGTCGATTCGCAGGTGATCCTGTAAATGTTAGTTACATCATAAGCTCCTCAGTTGCCACTATTTTTTACCGGAAGAGCAGGTGAACTTGAACTGACCCCATGTCGAAGGTGAGGGCACCAGGGCGGGAAAGGGCGCAGGAGCTGATCGAATGCCCCACTCGTGAATGCGGCTCACAGTTGGGGTGAATACGCCCATGAGCAATTTCTGACGCATCGCTTCCCGTTTTTTCAGGATCTCTTCCTCAGAGGCGCTGGGTTGAGTTTGGGGAGCTATAGGTTTGTCTTCCCGGACCTTATGAGAAGACGGAGTTTTGCCATCTGAGGTTGGGTGGGGAGATGAGGTTTTGCAGGCTGAGGATTTTTGCAGGGCTGATCTTTCAGAGCGCGGGTAGCTGTCACTGGCAATGCTGCGTAGATTCTTGATCGCTTCTTGCGATTGTGCTTTGAATTCTTCAGCTGTTTTATAACAGAGATCATAGTATGATGAAAGATCAAGCGTGATGAGCAAAGAAACCCATTTCTGAATGGACGAGGAGGTAGAGTAGCAAACCTGCTTTGGCTGAGGCTTCTTTCAGTGCTTCGGCCGTTTCCTTTCCAAGTTGATGATGAGAATCGAGCTGTTTCTGATATTCCAGCTGTGCTTCTTCCTTCAATTTCAGGATGGTGGCCTCCCTCTCTGCTTCAAGGGAAGCTTTCCGTGCGGCACTTTCTTCAAGAATCTTTTGCCTTGCATCTTCCAACTCTTTACGCAACTGCTCCTCTTGAGCGCGTCTAAGCTCCTCATGCGTCCGTTTGTATTCTTCGATCGCTTCTTGCTTCAGCCGTTCCAAGGCATCGGCGCGCTCCTGAATAAGCTCACGTTCGCGCTGGCTGGCCCTAGCTTCTTCTGCAGCTTCTCGCGCCTTGGCTCTAGCCTCGGCCTCGCTCTCTAGTGCCAAAGTCCGTTCTTGGCGCTCTTTCCAAAGTTCCAGCTATGAGTTCGTGCAAACGACAACATAACAGCGAACTTCAAATTAGAAAGATGGGTGAACGTAAGGTGCAAGGATACTAGAAATAGCTTACCTCTGCCTCATGCTTTTGCTTAACTACGGCCACCTCTTCGCGTAACTGCTGCAGCCTCCGATCAGCCTCGAAGAGCAATTGCTGCTTTTCTTCCTCGATTGCCTGTTGATGTAAAAGCCTCTGCTCTGCTTCCTATTCATCAAAATATCAATGGAAAACAAAGTGGATGATTTATCGCGTTTCTTTCACCCAACAGAGAAAGAGAAAGGAAGCAAGAAAAAAAAACAGGTTGGTCTGCTTACCTTTTCAGCTGCCAAGGCATTGAGTTCCTGAGCTTCAGTGACTTTTTGTCTGATCATTTCGGCGTGTTCAAGGGTTTGTTGAGCCTGACGATTCATCTCTTCAATCCTCAATTTTTCTTCAGCGATGATTTGTTTTTCGCGCTGCCGGGGCCAAAGACGAGAGATAGCAAGTCAGCAACTGAATATCAATCGTCATCAAATATCCAAGACTGACTTCAATCCTAGCTACTTCTTCAGATGGACCGGGATCTGGAGGTACAACTTCGGCGATCGGTTCATCTTGGGGCGCAGGCTGTGGTGGACGAGTAGCTGAAGAAACAGTCGAGGAAGCCTTCGACTTGGTCCGTCCTGCACGTGGTACTGTTTCGAAATAGCCTCCCCTCTTGGGTATCCCGCCTGAAACAGGATCGTCAGAGTTGAATCGCCTGGTATTGCGTAGGAAGTTACGTCGTTCGATCCGGTCAAACACGATCATGTGGTAAGGATTAACAACAACATCGTCAGCAGAGGAGCTTTGAAACATTTGAAATTTTTCGGTAACATCAACAAGAAAGAAAAACACGTGGAAACTAGTGAAAGATAAGACAGCAGGCGCGTCCAAAAAAAAAAAGAAGTACAAATATCGACTCACCAGGTTCGAGCCCCGACTTCCAAATTCAGTTTACTGGTGAGAGGCATGATGTGATGATGTTGACTTGATCTCGAAGCGTTGTTGTTGTTTTTTCTATGATTTGTATGTTGTCTGGGGTATCTATCGGCTCGTGCCCTGGTACTTCTGTGTTTGTTGATGTTGTGTTCCAATCGACCAGTGAGCTTCGAAAGATGAGGGAAGGGTACGAATTTTGGAAGAACCGGGAAGCAAAAACCAAAAAACTGTGTAATCGAATCCCGATCAACACCACCAGCCGCAAATATGGATTTATGGATAAGTGTAGTGTAACACCTCAACAGATGGGCATGAATTTACAAGTCAATAATTCAAGATAATAAATTATTGCAGCTGTCAAGATGATTTCGATGGAACAGGAAGGATCGACCGGTCATCGGAGACAGGGTACAATTGAATGGCAGGGAGGGCGCACCGGCACAACTCACCCAACAGCTTGATCAAGTTGCCTCTGCTCCAACAGCTAGAGCGCGTAACGCAGTGTTTGTTTTTTTTTGGTCCAGATGTGTTCCTGATCTCTATGTAGACTCTAATAGGTAGGCATTCGTCAGGATACAGAGGATCGTAGGTAGGATGTCGATTACTACAGTTTGGGTAACAGGTCATACCAATACAATAATGCCCCCAGAGTCCAACAAAGCACTCTGTCACCCAAACATTCCAAAGAAGATTAACCACATCCGAAACATCTTATCGCCAGGGCAGAAGACATCTTCTCTTTGTGCCTACATACGCCCACATAACGCGACCCGTTAAAGCCTCAGACCACAACAGCTCGGTTCTAGCCGAGTTGGCATGCCCGGTCCGCTCGGATCTGGTAATTAAGACGCCCGGGATATTATCCTCACACCCGATATAAGCCGATGCTTGATGCAGTGATGTCGTATGCATTGGTGTTTAGAAACAAAACTATTCTCCCAGACATTATCCAGAGTACATAGAGGACTTGGAATGTTCAATGAGTTTGGTGTTCATACCATCTATATGTTCAACTTCCAGAGAAGTCTTATATATGTACGCGCTGGGATGTGTTTGGAAAAACCAAGTCTCGTTATGTCCTGTCAAACAATTGTCTGTACAGCACCCTTGACCAGAGTCTCAAAACAATCATCCTATGTACATAGCAATCACCAAAGACATGCACAAGTTGGGGCTGCAGAAAGGTTCAAGTTTTGTAGAAATCACAACGAGCCTTTCTTTGGCTTGAAATAATGGAAATGATGCCTCCATCAAGATTACAAATGATAAGCAAGTGAAAGAATTTCCAAATAACCAAAATGAGATTCACCTCTTGCTCTTGGGCCAAAATCTCCATCCAATCCATGTGCTTAACCCACAAGCTGGCCCAAACTACAGCAGGACTTTGTCCCATGTCCCTCTGACACTGGAACAGACTTAAACAAGGGTTTCCTCTGGTGGCAAGCCTCTACCTCATTTGATATTCAACACCACTCTCACCACATTTATTATTTTGCCTTCCTTCTTCACTTTCCTCTGTTATTCATTTGATTGTCTTTCAAGAGGGACGTGAGGTAAGCGGGAGGGAGGGGTATAACTATTAAAGCCGCTACGGGCTGGGCTAAATTACAATTCTAGATATCAAACTTTACAGCATTAGATAGGCGAGAAAGAGAGAAGATGAAGATTTACAAAACGAGGTAGTTTGTATAAGACAAATAAGACATTTTGAGCAAGAAAACAAAAGAAAAAGCAAGCAAGCGCAGATGATCAACGAAAAAAAAAAAACTACCTCGAAAAATGAGGGGTTTTTTTTGTTTAGGCCGGAAGGACTGAAGGATCAGGATCAACAGGAGGAGAAGGATGAGTGGAGAAAGAAGCGGACGATTTACGAAGGACGAGTTGTTTCCAGACCTTCAATCTACAAAACATGCGTTCCAAGTTATCAGGATCAAAGATCTGTGAATCAGGACGGAAGTCGGGCCTTGGGGGAGAAAGAAGAGGGTCGGAATGAGTCGCTCGGACTGAAGTCGGATGCATCAGCAGCTGGTCGACGCAACGAGTGAAAGTGAGTCCCAGGGCCAGATCGCCCAAGAGATGTTGAGTCAAGTCTTTGATCCTGTGAGGGGGGTCTCCAGGACTCTTGTCTACTTCGTTTGTAAATCGGCCTGGATGGCTGCTAGGGTCGGCGTTAACGGTCGGACGTTGGCGCGGTTGAAGTCGGAAATCTACATGTTGTTGCGGAGGCTTCTCCTCGCCCAGCTTTTGGACCCCTATCCGGAGTAATCTCACTTCCTCGCTCAAAGCTGCAACCTCGCTTCGTGCTTCAGCAAGCGCGGCTACTAGGTTGGCTTTCTCTAATTGATCCGATCGGATGTGAGAGAGCTTAAGATGGAAACCAAACCATATATAAGTTCGGATTGAAGGAATACGAATCAGGTTTTAAGTGACTCCGATCACACATCCTGCGATAAGATGGCTGGGAGAGGGGAAGAAAGGGCTTACCAATTGGTTGACTCGGACGTCAAGAACTTCTGTCTGCTCGGTTTCTGAAGATGGATTGGTGCCACTGGGGCCTTCAACATCAGCAGGGGCCACAGACGGCCGAAGGGGTGTGGGTCGGATAAGATTGGGAGAGGAAGAATGGCCGGCCGATCTAGTGAGACGAGATCGACCCATGATCGGTTCTGAGGTCGATTGCAGGGGCGGCTGAGATGGGAGATGCGATGTGCGTCGGGTCTACACACAAGCAACACAAAATTATCGGTCAATGTTGATGATGAGCTTTCAGGACACGGTTTTTTTCTTTTCTGATCAGGAGTGAAGGAAAAATGAGAAATCAAACCTCATCGAGCAAGGATTGTGGGAGATCACTATCTTTGATATTCTCAGGTATTTGGATTGCTTGTTTGCCAGGACAAGAGATTGACGGGCGCATGGGTTGTAGCAATTCTTCGACGACCTTTGATCGTCTGATCCCCGCCGCATTTTCGCTAGAGCCACGTTCCATGAGAAAGGTCCAATGAGACTCTGGGGCTCCTTCCATGACTGCAGCCGCCAGCCGATCCGCCGCACTGGGAGCTTTCGCCGGCACTTTAGCCGGTGTTTCTGTCGGAAGATGACTCGCGGGTCGGTCGGTCGGAGGCGAATATTGTCGAGGTGGGTTCGGCGAAGCTTGATTAGGAGGAGCAGGACTCGGAGAGGTCTGGGCAGCAGTCGTGGGATGACTGAATTGGAGTGGCGGAATACTGGCTTGTAATCCAGACGGCCCATTGTGTCGCTTGTTCAGGGGGGAACTCATCTCCGAGAAATCATCATGATGGGTTGTAAAAGGTGTAGAGGAAGTTGGGAGGGCTCCTCGAAAAGGATTGGCGCGTTCGTAGGTCTTTCAGAGGTAGTTCGGATCAATAAATCATTGACTTTCATAGTTTTAATTGGAAAGAAGTGGAGGGACACACATTTAAAAAATGTGAGGGTAGATCTAGATCTGAAGCCCTAGGACGAGGGGTGAGCGAGGTTTGCTTAGGATGAGGATGACTTGCAGGTCTTGTTTGAGGGGATGATCGAGAGGATCGATGGGATGCGGATTTGGCTGATTTGCGATTCGAAGTAGATGATTGAGGGAACGGATTGGTATTATCATTATCAAGGAAGTCCAGCAACGCGCTCATGTTGGGTAAGACTCTCCTGGATTCTGGGCTTTCGCCCGACAGGGCTGTTGAGGTTGTTGACCGACGCGAACTGAGGACAGAGATCGGTGTGCTGCCGCGGGGATGTCCAAACCCAGAAATCGACGAGTGAGTCCCATCGCGTACATCTGTGAATCCATCGGTAAGATCCTAGAAATACACCAAGAAACAAGTATGTCCATCTCAGTGATTTGTGAAACTTTTGAAGCTGGAGTAATGTTTTACTTACGCGATCCCCAAAATCGAGACTGGCGAGCGGCAGACGCGTCTGGCCTGGTTTGAGTTGGCCAAGCATGAAGAGGGTTATGGAAGACAAGAAAGGTAAGAAGTGGTAGTTCGCAAGTTTTGTGATGAGGGTGATGAGTTGTTCAAGAAAATTAAATTTGTCTGGATGAGAATACGAGGAGAAGGAAAGCTCAACTTCAGAATTCTGGCTCTTGATTCACTCAGCCCCAGCTGGGCCTCACCCTGACGGGCCTGTGAGCCTTGCGGCCCGTCCAACAGGGGTACAAAGCAAAGGACATACATACATAACCTACTCCTGGAACCCCTCAAGCAACTGGCAACATCATGCCAATCCGAACCACAAGGTTCCTTCAATACCTCCAACCTGTTCGATCCCAGACCCAAAGCGTTCCAAATGTGAAATCCATGGACTCTTAAAAGAGCTACACATTCTGATTGATATCTCAGACTGGAGTTGTGACTTGTGGCCAATTGATCAAGCTGGTCAGGCTGTTGATCAGTATGGAATTGTTCTGAAATCCATTGTACTTAGTCCTGGTCCCTGGAGCTCATCTATTGTGTTTATCTTTCTCTCCTTGATTGTCAGAGTCTTAGGGCCTGTAGTGTAGGGTAGCACCAAAGCAAATTTTGAATTCCAATTTTGAATTTTGTTTTTCTCACAAACCAAAAATCAGTTTTGGGTTTGCACCAAAAAACTGGAAATCAGGGGTTACACCATTTCCACCAGATTCAATTTCAAAGTTGAAAGCTGGAGATTGGCCCGGAAATTCACAAAACTGGTGGATATGTGTGGTACAGGCCCTAAGGCTAAACCTGGCCCTTTTTTTGTACTATCATGTGTCACTTGTTTCCTATCTCAACCATGCTGTCCTTGCACTCATATCCACTCTCTTTTACACACCAGGTTTGCATGCATAGTGATTTCCTTTCCACAATTTCAATCTAATGAGTGCCATTAGATTATCCCAAGAACCCAGACCAACACTAAATGAAAAACAATGACTGGCTCTGACCCTGCTCTTCCTGTGAGCCAAGAATGTGGCCATCTCACAGACTATTTTGAGGAATTTCAAGCATCCTCAATTGAATTAGATGGTCTTTTCAAGGGATTTACATGGTCTTTTCAAGGTATTCATGGTCTTTCCAATTGAATTACATGGTCTTTTCAATTCAATTGCATGGTCTTTCTGATTAGGTTGAAATGAATGGTTGTGAAAAGGATTTCTGGGTCCCCAACAATCCAGTCCCTCACCAGCCCCATGGACCAATACATAGTGTGATGCAAGATCACAGAACAGCAAGCTCACAGACATCAGGTTTCTCTTCCACTAAGGATTGTGCATGGATTCAGGCTACCATTGGAGGACTTCCCATGGGTTTTACAGGCCTTGTAAAGCTAGATTTACAGGCTGTAAAGCTAATTTTTCGCTGGGAAAACGGTTTCACGAGCTTGTAAAAATAGCTTTACAGGGGGCTGTAAATTCGACGGGAAGACTTCCATTGTTGACTTGGAGCTTGGAAACCTTGAGGGTAGATGGGGCTCAAAAGTAGATTGAATGTCATGGAGAGACATCCAAAGTGTGTTCAAGGCTTTGATGTGCGGCAAACCTCTTCATATAAACATAGAAGGGGCAGACAGATGTTACGACAAACCGAAGAGGGCAATTTGATGATTCACTTCATTTGTGAAAATCCTTGCCTAGGCTCAGGGTCACGCTTCTCACAAGGGTGCTTACACCTCACCATCACCAGGAGGAATCGGATAACTCAGACTGGATAACAGTATTTCATGTAGATCTCGGAGCACATAAGATTAGATACATGAAGTAGTGGGGAACAAGGATTTACCCAGACAGTGGGGACCGATTTCTAAATCAAAGCCAGATAAACATTAGTTCCAAATTAAGCTAGAGTCAGAACTGCATAATTCAACTCACATCCAAACAAGTCGAGTCCCATGTCTTCGTCTTCTTCTTCCTCGGGTTCTGGCTCCTTAGCGGCGGCGGCAGCAGGTGCGGCGGCCGAAGCAGTGGCAGCAGGGGCAGCAGCAGCAGCGAACGCTTCGGCTATAGAATTGAATCATACACGGTCAGGACACAGAGGGGAAATGATACAGTGATCGGGAGACTGACGGTTGTCGAGGTAATCCTTGGCTTTTTGAGCGCCTTCAAACATGTAGTCGGTAGTGAGAGCAATGGCAATAAGGTTCTTGTAGCTGTTGACAAGGCTGTGGGGAACGGATGCGACGGTGGGGTAGTTGATCGCAAGGGAGATGGCGGCAATCGTCTTGATGCCACTCAGGAATTGGTCGATCAAAGTCTTCTCGTCGATGTCCAATACTGTTGGGGAGAAAACGTTTCCGTTGTCGTAGATTGAGACAACAGTCATTCCGTAGGTGAAGGGAGAGATCTTCAACAAGTTGAGAAGCGTGGCTTCGGATGCTCCGACACGACTTCCAGCGGTGACGATTTTCATATCGGATACAATTTCGATCGTACCACGAGCAATCTAGTGACAAAATCTCATTGGGAAATTAGAATCTTAACGACCCCGTCTGAGGTAAACCATCGATTGATCCGGATTTACCTTGGTTGGAATGCCCAAAGCCTGGAAGAAAGAGGTCTTTCCAGGTTCCATACCGGTGTTACCGGCAGGGATGTAAACATCCAAAGGAGCAAAGGCACCAGCCTTGGCCGGGGCAGCGACCTTGTTGGCGGTGATAATGTCACGAACATCCTTCAAGTCGCCACTGGTGAAGACGAAACCGATGTTTCCTCGGACGAGAGGGAGGATACGCTCGTACTGAGGGTTATCGGCCAAGATGTTTCGGATCGCACGTCGAACCATCGTGTTTTTGCCCATCAAGACAGTACCCTTACCACGTAGAGCCTGTCGGATTTGGTGCATCTGGTTGGATCCTACATTGTCAACGTTAACAATGAATGCGGACGGGAACTGGGCCATCAAGTCTTTCAACTTGTTAAAGTAGGCCTCTAATTAACCATAGGAATATACGTTAGCCTCCTGGTTGCAATGAATTATTTCGTCATAGATCATACGAAATCCTCGCACCTTTGAATTCTCTGGGTTTGCCCATCTTGAGTCTTGAGCGAAATTAGTTGGAGGATGGACGAGTGCAGCCTAGCTACAAAATCAAGTTTTGAAGCCGAATTTAAAGGCTGCGTTGAGGGTAGACTTTCTTGCGTAGGTAGTATGCAGGCAGAGGCGGGCGAAGGGAACGGGCGGGGTGGGATAAAATCATCCGGACCCCACTGAACCGGTTAGGTTTACTATGGCAAACTCACCCGCTGCTGCGCGGACTGCAGAAGTCTCCGAGCGCTTTCACGAGGTTCACCGTTCAGCACGAGTACATGTCACAGATACATATTGTGTTTCTCGTGATTGTCTTGTGACACAATCCAATTTTTCTGACTTTGATTTCTGCGGGTCTCCCAGAAACAATTTAGAGCCTCTGAAGCTAGATTTCCCAGCAAGATGCTAGACTTTTTGGGCTAAATCAACATCTGCAAGGGTCACAGATCCGACATCAAGTCATCCATTATGTATGCACTTGAAGATCCCCAGATCGGCATTTTTTTATAGTTTTTCCCTGAGTTTTTGCCCTTACTATCTCACTCTTTGCTTCCCACTTTTCCATGGCCACAGCCAGCCACCAATGCTTTGCAACTGCCCAGCCTTCCTTGTATGTGACTGTGATGAGGAATGTAGCTTGTGCGGGGGTCAGACCAAAGCAAACTTTTGTCTCCGGTTCTGAAAATGAGTTTGCCATTCCCTGACTTCAAAACCAATGAAAAGGGAATTCAACACCAAGGTTGGTTGAACTGGCCTTGGGTTCAATCCTGCAGATGTCATGCTGGCGGGTGGGAGCACAAGGAAAGTTCTCATCAGGAGGAAGCCCTCCCAATGGGCTGGATTTAAAACCAGCTGATTGGGAGGGTTTCCTCCCAACAAGCTGGATTTAAAACCAGCTCATTGGGAGGGTTTCCTCCCAACAAGCTGGATTTAAAACCAGCTCATTGGGAGGGTTTCCTCCCAACAAGCTGGATTTAAAACCAGCTCATTGGGAGGGTTTCCTCCCAACAAGCTGGATTTAAAACCAGCTCATTGGGAGGGTTTCCTCCCAACAAGCTGGATTTAAAACCAGCTCATTGGGAGGTTTTCCTCCCGACAAGCTGGATTTAAAGCCAGTCCATTGGGAGGTTTTCCTCCCAATGGGAAACTTCCTTGTTTTCCCGTCCGCCAAGAAATTGGTGGGTGGGAAATTGGCATGCAGGCCAACACACCATCCAATTTTGGCGTGTTGGCCAGCACATCCATTTTTATGGGGGTGCCTGCCTAGAAAAGGGTGTGAACACCCACATTCCAAAAATTGATGGTGTGCACACCCACACACCTTTTTCCAAAAGACTGCTTAATAATAAATTAATTGTAATTATACCTTTTAATACTAAGAAAACCTAGAATATTATTCCAGGAATGAACTTTTCATAATATTCTACATAGGGTTGCTCACTGGAACCACTCCCAAAGTCCTACTCCTTCTAGCACTTTGTCATAACTCAAGAGCCTTAGAGGTTAGTAGGAATATAAATATAAATACTCCAAAAAGATTATAAAATAAAGATAGAAATAAATATTAAATATAGGGAATTAATAAAAGTACCCCCCTTTTCTGCTATCCACACCCGGTTTTTCCCAGCCTTTGTAATTCATTTTTTGGTAATTCTCAGAGCATATCCAGCGCGGGAGGTAAACCGGGTTTGTATCCCGCGTCTAGCAACCCAAACTCAAAAAACACCACCCACCCGGAGTGCTAAACTCATAAAAGTATTACCTCCGGAGGTAAAATTTCATGTTGAGTTGCTACATGTAGCAACCCTATAGCAACCCAATAGCTCCTGTGAAATCTCACATCTCCATGACATGGACAGTGTTTCCCTTGTGATCTCTTCATGAAACTATCAAACCTTTTCTCTTCTTCCCCGGTTCTTCTCCTTTCTCCTTCCCAATACCTATTTCACATCACAATACATATCCCTTTCTTGCACTACAACTTCAGCAAGGTGAAAGATGTTGTGTCCAATTTCCTGCAATCGGACATGGCCAAGATAAACAGGATCTGTTTCACCTCGCCTGTGTCTGATTGCATGCAATCTGACACCATCGAGGTGAAGCTGCTGTGTCCGATTTCCTGCAATCGGACACGGCCAAGATGACAATTATGTCCTTCACCTTGCCTGTGTCCGATTGCATGCAATTGGACACCAGCGAGGTGAAGCTGTTGTGATGTGCTTCAGATTCAAATGTGATCATGTAGCAACCACAGGTGGGCAGAAAACCCGGGGGGTTGCCACATGTAAACTTTGAGTTGCTACAGGGGGGTTGTAGCAACCCGGTTTTACCTCCCGCGGTGGATATGCTCTCACTATGCCAAAAATCTTCTGAAATTGAAAATTCTTTTTGGGTATATAAAAAATCCTCAAAAGAGAAATTTTAAATATAACCAAATCCACCATTATTTAATTAACTGGTTTAGAAAAACCCACCATTTTTAAGGGGGTTGGAAAAACAACTCCCAAAATTTTGCCGACGACTCCCATTTTGGTCAAGGGGTCGTTGGACGGTAGTTGTTCCTCCAAATTGCTGGCCGACTTTGGGATTTGGTCATCAATTTTTTTTAATTTTCATTTTTAGGGAGTCGGCGCCCCAAACCACCCCTCATGCTTGAGGGGGTTTGTCAGCTCTGTGTATGCTACACTGGTTTAAATAATATAAAAACCAGGTGCTATCACTGTGCTGAAGGACTATCAAAGAAAAAGATTACTCTTTTTCACCCTTTATATGTGGTCCAAATTCCACAAAGGTTAAGTCCACACTCCTTTAAGCTTATTTGTTTCTAATGAACCAAATAACAGGAGATTATAACAATTAATAAATTGTTATAGTTTGGATTTTAAAGCAATAATAATTGCTAAGAAGCAGCTGGCAAGCACTTGAGCTGATTGGCTACTTGTCAGAGGTGGTAGTCTTGCAGCAACTGCTTTATAAGGAATTTTAGTGAGGGATGAAAGGGGAGTTTCAAAGTTACACACTAATAATTCCAGTAGTAAAAGGAAGATTGGGATTGGGATGACTACTCTAAAAGTAGGAGGAGAATATTCACTGTACTTACTAAGTATGTTGTGGGTGAATATGCTGAGGAACCAATCTTAGGCCAGGAATGGCCTCCTTTTATATTCTAGAGTCCCCCTTGGGGGAATTCTTAGAATATTCTAGAATGTTTATTTAATGTACTACAATAGTAGTTCTCTCATGATGTAATGAGAATATTGTAGTAGATTAAATACAGTATTATCTATGTCCCCATGACATCATGATGCATTGTTATAGCCAATTACATCATGAGTCGGACTTATAATAGAACAATACTGATGGAAATT